TGCTTTCGCCTCGCCCACTGCTGCTGTTGCTTCTTGTTCATCTGCTGCTGCTGCTTCCTCCTCACCTGCTCCTGGTGCTTTCTGCCTACCTGCTGCTGATGGTGTTGGTCACAAGGCCGAAATGCGACATGGCTTGACTGTACGAGACCCTTTTAAGACGTCTCAAAGGCCTCTCTTCCCGCGTACCACTTCTCGTGTTTACTGCACACCCGCTCTGCCTGCTCCCTGCTCACGTGCTCCTGGTTCCACCTGTTCACTCGCCGCCGCCACTCCGGGTGCTTGTCATGGAAGGGATGGCGCTGCTTCTGGTGCTTGTCATCAGGGAGAAGCACACGCCTTGACAATGCAAGAGCCTCCTGCCACGTGGACGCCCCTGGATAGTTTGGGGAATGCCCCTCAGTGGTCGGAACAGAGGGGGGCGAGACAGGCAAAGCAGGAAGGGGAGGGATGGAGAGGGGAGGACTGGAGGCTGCAAGCATTGGAGGCGAAGCATCATTCACCTCGCGAGGCGTCGCAAGTAGTCCCTTCTAAGGCACTACACTTATTGCCTATTCAGGCATCACAGTTATCGACTTTTCAGGCACCGCACGTATCGCGTGAGGATTGGAGGCCGCGCGTTCGAGCGCGATTGGACGGGCAAGCAGTGGGGCTGGGATGCATCCAACCAAAGAGCATGAAGGAGAGGCAGCGGCGTGATCGTGTCAGGTGACTTGACCTTCTTATTTCAACACCTCCTCCCCCTCTCTTCCCTCCCTCGCTCTTTATCCCTCACTCCACTGTCTCTCCCCCTCTTCCTCTCCCTCCCTTCCCCATGTCCGTCCCCATGTCCGTCCTCTCGTCCCTGCCTCTTTCCCCCTCCACCCCATCCCACCTCCAAACCCATCCCTCCCCTATTATCTTCTTTTCCCCTTTCGCCCTCTCCCTGTGTAACACTTGCTGCAGTCGGTGCTGCTACGGTATTTTATTTATTTATTATTGATGTTTTTGGATCTGACTCTGGGAGGGGGGGAGGGGAAGGGGATGGGCATTTATCTTTGTGTTTTCTTGTTTGGCATTTGGCTTTGTGAGTGAGATCTTGATAAAAGTAAGGGACCTGGATGAAGTCTGAAACTGAGTGTGTGACCTTATCCAAATCCTGTGCTTGTATCGAATGTGACTGTATCAGGAGAGGCCTGGAGCAGCTACATCGAGCGCTACCCCCATCTCTTGCAAGAGCACAACTCGATACAGCCACAATGGTGGAGTCTGCAGTCGCTTACATAAAAGACCTGCAGGTACACTCACACGCTCTACTTTCTCATCATTTATGTTGAATAATGTTAATTGCTGCTGAATCTGAGTAACATGTACGCATGTTTAAGGTGCTTGAAGTATAGGAGCTGTTCTGAGCACCAGTGTTCATGTGTTCATGCGACCATGCAGGTTCAGATTGAAGCCATGGAGAAATCCATTCATGCTGCTATCGAGACACCGAGATCTGCAGTGGAGGCGACAGCACATGGCTCAGCATAAGGTGCCGGCACATCTAGGGTGATTTTTTTGGTCGATCTAACCATCCCTAGAGACTCCAAGCCCTGCTTGTAAGGAAGCATTCAGGCCGACTTTTGGGTTGACTCAAAAGTCACTGGAGAAGCCAAGATCTGCAGTGGAGGAGACAGCATGTGGCTCAGCAGCTGTGTTCTGACTGTCAATTGACTGCAATTTCCTTGCACTTCCCCAGATTGCACCAAGTTTGTCAGTGCCAGGTTGCTCCTTTGGTTGCTGGCGCACACTTTTAAGAAGCTTCAAAAGTTTCTCTTCTGATCGTCGGTGCGCACACAGCGCCAAGATTCCAGGCGCCTCGTCTGCTGATATCCTGTAGACCGCACAGCAAAGCTTCGCCTGGTATCGTGCCATGATATCCTGATGGGGTAGGTTTGTTGTGTGTGTGATTTAGCCTCTAGTGTAGTTCAGCATCGATAGTGTAGCCAGTCTGCTTTGGTTGTGCATATATTGTACTAGTGCTGAAGCTCGGTGGCATCACTATTCGCAAGTGATGCATCACCTAATTGAAGCATGCCACAACGGCTGCGTTCTGCAGGCACGACAGAGGTGGGGGAGGCGGTAAATAGGAACCTTCCCCCAACTGCATTTTTTGGTCCGAAAGACGGTCAGCCCGGAAAATGGATCCGAGCCTCCCATTTGCCCTCCGAACGTAAACGAAGGTAAATGGCAACAGAACAGCCATTTAGGGCGCGTGTCCTTCAGGTCGAACTTTTGCTAAGTTCGAACTGATGAAGAGTTTTTACGCGGTAGGATACAGTTGAGAGACGTGTCGCAACGGTAAAAAGCGGTATTAGGCTCGAACTTTGACAATCCACACCAAAAGACACGCGCTCTTACCCTCGCGGATATGAGGTCGTAGGAAGCTGCCTATTTCCCCTCCCCACCTTCCTTCCCTGGCAAATTTTGCGTCCTTCGCCCCGCCTTTCGAAAACTGCTCTTGACTGGGATGTGAGACGGAGGGGGGGGGGAGGCGCTAGATTAGGGAACACCACACCGGAACCCTAGAAAGCAAACAACCCCTCCTTCGAGTAGCCCGAACAGGGACGCAGCAAACTCACAGGGAAAAAAAAGCATTTGAATCATCGAGGTTTGTGTATTGCAAGGGGTAAAAGTTTTTCCACCTGATTACCCTTCTCTCAACTTCAACCCTCTTTCTGATGTCGCGCAGGTCTATCTACCCATGTCTTGTGCATACGAATTTGTTCATGTTTCTTCGCCATTTACCTTCAGAGCCTTCCACCCGAGCAGCCGAAATTTCCCACTTTCGGTTGTAGCGGGGGGGGGGGAGTCGAGGAGGAAACTGCTTCGGAACCCTCGTCATTTCCCTTCGTCCCCCCACCCCACCTCCCTCCCAAGGGAAATGCCTACAGAACGCAGCCAATGGGTATCCTTTGCCAGCCCACGTCTGCTTTCTTGACCTGCACATTCCCTGATGATGGTTTCCCACCCTGCTTCTCGGAGCCTCCGGGCACGCAGGCCTTTTTTTTGGGACATGGTGTAGACTTCCTCGTTTGTGTAGATTGTGAACAGAAATCCTATTTATCTCTATGGTTGTAGGCCCTAGGAAGACCTTGGATGAAAGAAGCACATGGCCCTCAGGAGCTTTAGGCATTGTGTAAGAGCATCCAGCAACCTTGTTACTGGTATTTAACCGTTGCGGCTGTCCTTTACTGAACAACAACAGGTCGCTGACTTGTGACGTACTCTTTATTGCAACTACAGTTCAAAAAGACCAGATCCCGATTGATTTCCCGTTCCCTTCCTTGATACTAATCTGATTTACGACGTTTTCTCGTAGCCCACTTAGCGAAGCATATCTGGTAGGGAAGACGGCGTTTTCTACGAGTAGCGGGGCGGGAGTTGTTCTTCAGTATGGGCCTGAACGGGTAATGGCGGGGGGGTAATGGCTCACACCACTAGTCCCTGAATTGCACGCTTGGCGAACAACAGCAGCAGCGGTTACTCTCTGTTGATATCTAGACTGGAAAGGAGGCGACAAACTCAGAAGGAGAGTGTTGTCGTGGCCATTAATTAGGGTGCGCAGTGCCGCCCAAACCAGCCGCTTACTCAACCACTCGTTTATAAAGCGCAGCTCGGACCTATAACTGACGAAACGGGCATGGCGGAAAACGACATGTTTTCACTGCGCCGCCCTCATCTCTCCCCGCTCTGGCGTTCTTGCATCAATCATACAGTAAATCCGTCAGCCGCAGCATGACTTCGGGGTGATGTCGGCAAGGGCAACAGGTTCACTTGCCAACCTGTTCTCGCGAGGAGAGGCAATCCTCGACCCGGCATTCTCGCCTAGATCATGCCGTGAATCCGCCAGCTCAGGCTTGGGGTTTCGGGTTGCGGGGGCAACAGGTTCTCTCTCCCCCCTGCTCTAGTCTACGTGTAGTCTGGCATTCTCGCTAAATCATGCGGTGAATCCGCCAGCTCACAAGCCAGCGCAGCATGACTCGGTGGGAAGCGCGGGGACTGGAAGGGGATGACGCGGGATGACGCAACTGCTGGGCACTAAAAGCAGGAGGGAATTCTATGGAAGGGCAGCACAGCAAGGACGGAAGTCTCGGGATTGGTCAGTCGTCGTGTCGATGTGTTGATCTCAAGCCAACCACGAGACAGCCCATCACGTCTGCTTGCCAGTCGTTATCTTGCTGGAAACTCCTCCTTAGTGGATTCCTTCCCTACCTGCCATTCTCGCCAAGATCAATGAATCCACCAGCTGATAAACCCAGCGCAGCAGGACGCGGTGCGGAAGGCACAGTGCGAACCGGGGATAAGCCTTATCAGCAAAGGTGGCTAGCGCGGAAATTATTTCCCCGCGAGTGTCGGAAGTGACAGATTCCCTTCGTTTCAAGTCAAGTCGGCATTCTTCGCTCGTTAGATGATAGAGACAGATAAGAATCGTGCGGCAGCCATGCCGCTACTCACTTCAAAGGTGCTCAAAAGCACCGATCCTGGTTGCGCATCAACGATGCCTGTGGAGTTGTGTGTCAAATCTCTAGTAGTCTCACATTAAAACGAGGCTCCAAGTTGGACTGTGGAGCTGCCTCGCGCTGACGGTGGTAGTATGGGCATGATGGGCACTCTTTTCACGCGTATGATTACCGCCAGCCACGCCAGCCCCTCACTTCTCTCCTTCGTATCGTAGCGGGTTGGTTGTGGGCCTGCCGTTACCACACACGTCGGATCTGAGCGACAGAAGACCTTTTCCTCGGAATGAGGAGTGGAATCTACTACCCATGCACTCCTTTTCTTTCCATATCTCTCTGTCATTTTCTCCGTTACAAATTATCGGGTTCAGAGGTTTCACTGATTCGGCTTCCATCCAATTCCGTCTTGCAATTCGAGTAGCAGCACTTCACAAGAGAAAGAAACGAGGCGTTCCAGTGACCTGACCTACCGGAACCTCCTCCTCAGCAAACCTGAGTTTGAAAAACTTGTCCCGAGAGATGGACCAGCAAGGCCGCGTTTATTATCAACTTAAAGCAACCTACCCTTTGGAGGAGTTGCTGGGGCGCCATCATGACGAGGCCGTTCCCAAGATTGGAGCCTCTTTCGAGACGCAGAGCGACAGAAATACATGCGAAGGCAGATATGGACGGTCAGGATCGAGCTCTGCGTCTGCATCGGGGGGAACCAATCCAGTACAACCTCTATCAGGGGAGGGCCTCTTGGGGGGACATCCCAGCATTGCATGTGCATCTGCATCAGGGTTAACCAGAGCCCAAGATCTTACCATTGAAGCCAGGAGGATCGAGCTTCTCCCCATGTTTGACGCGCAGATATGGAGTGAGCAGGAGAGTGGTCTGTTGGAGGAGCAGTTGCGGCGCCATGGGCGCCTTGAAGGCGGCATCAGCCTGTCATGCGCTATCATCGCCCCGCCCTGTATGCAAGACCAGCCACACCCACCTTCTGAGGACACTCAAATCTCGACTCGGAGTGAGCAGGAGAGTGGTCTGTTGGAGGAGCAGTTGCGGTGCCACGGGCGACTTGGGAAACCGATCAGCGTCCCTCCTCCCTTCATCAACGACAAGCCTCACGACAAGCCTCACGACAAGCCTCACGACAAGCCTCACAACAAGCCTCATGACAAGCCTCACAACAAGCCTCACAACAAGCCTCACAACAAGCCTCCCACACATGCTGAGGATCTTCGAATCCGGAATCAGAAATCCGGCCGCGGGCAACTTGAAGATTCCACTGTGGTGCCGAAGCCGTTCGCATATCTGCCTCGCTTGCCAGTGCAGCCCCAGGAACCCGACTTGACACGCCACGGCCACAGCCACAGCCACGACCACGACCACGACCTTGCTTGCCAGTGCAGCCCCAGGACCCAGGGCTGTGCAGCCAAAGGACCCAGGACTGTGGAACCCGACGTGACATGCCACGGCCACAGCCACGGCCACAGCCACGGCCGGTTTGAAGAATCCACTGTGGCGCCATTCGTGTATCGACCTCGCTTGCCAATGCACCCCCAGGAGCCCCTGGCACGTCCGTCCCATTCAAAGGGTCCTTCTGCAATCCCAGCTTTCGAGAGAGCCGTGGGTGGGCTTTTCACAGAGGAGCAGCGACAGCAAGTGGCAGTGGAGAGCTGGATCGCACATGCCTTGAGCGCCTCTGCATCAGAGGGGATTCTTGAGACGCCTCAAAGCCTGAGCGCCTCTCCTCAAAGCCTGAGCGCCTCTCCTCAAAGCCTGAGCGCCTCTCCTCAAAGCCTGAGCGCCTCTCCTCAAAGCCTGAGCGCCTCTCCTCAAAGCCTGAGCGCCTCTCCTCAAAGCCTGAGCGCCTCTCCTCAAAGCCTGAGCGCCTCTCCTCAAAGCCTGAGCGCCTCTCCTCAAAGCCTGAGCGCCTCTCCTCAAAGCCTGAGCGCCTCTCCTCAAAGCCTGAGCGCCTCCGCGACAGAGAAAATGGCCCAGCAGCATCTAGTGCAGCAGCAGCAGCAGCAGCAGCAGCAAGTGGCGACAACCAGCTGGGTGGCACACGCTGAGCTGGCAGGGCTGGCTCTGCCGCCCGATCTGATCCGAGAATCTGCACTTGCCGCCCGGTTCGCGCAGAAGCAAATGCAGATGCAGGAGAAAGTTTCTGGTGCTTTCTGCCGGCCTGCTGCCTCTGGGGCCTGTTACAAGCGCGAAAGAGGCCATGGCTTGACAGAGGGAGAGCCTTTTGAGAAGTCTCGAAGGCCTCTCTTCTCACATACCACCACTCCTGATGTTTGCTGCACAGACGCTGTGCCTGGTGCTTCCTGCTCACCTGCTGCCTCCACGGATGTTTACTGCTCACCTGCTGCCTCCACGGATGTTTACTGCTCACCTGCTGCCTCCACGGATGTTTACTGCTCACCTGCTGCCTCCACGGGTGTTTACTGCTCACCTGCTGCTCCTGGTACTCCCGGTGTTTGCTGCGCATCCGCTGCTCCTGGTACTCCCTGCCCACCTGCTGCCACTCCTGGTGTTCGCTGCACACCCGTTGCTCTTGCTGTTTGTCATGAGTCGGAAAGAGGAGACGCCTTGGCAATGCAACAGCCTCCTGCCACGTGCACGCACCTGGTTGGATTGGAGAATGCTCTGCATACTTTTGACGCGAAGCAAAAGTCACCTCTTGAGGCGTCGCAAGTAACGACTGCTAAGACACCACATGTAGTGCCTTTTGAGGCGTCGCAAATGCCGCCTGAGGACTGGCGGCCGCGCATTCGAGCGCGGTTGGATGGGCAAGCGGTGGGGCTGGGATGCATTCAGCCGAGGAGCATGAAGGAGAGGTGCCGCCGTGATCGCATCAGGTGAATTCACCCTCTAATTCCATCCCCTTTTTTTTCTGTCTTTCCTGGGGGTGGGCACTTGGCTTTGTATTTCCTTGATTGGCTTGTGAGTATGACCTGGATAAGATTCGAAAACGATTCTGTGACCTTATTCTAATCTGCTTGTATTGAATGTGATTGTATCAGGAGAGGCCTTGAAAAGCTTCATAGAGCACTACCACCATCTCTGGCAAGATCACAACTCGATACAGCCACAATGGTGGAGTCTGCGCTCACTTATATCAAAGACCTACAGGTACAATCACAGGTTCTAATATCTTATCTGAACCAATGTTGGTGATTGGTTCTTTTTACTGAATCTGACGAACACATATGCATGTTTCCACAATATGTGTGCCACTTATGAGCCAGACATGTGCCATACATGCTCCTCTGCCACCCAAACCTCAAACTGTCTTTGAGACACCTCAAGGTTACTTTTCTATGGCTCAAGGTTCCCTTATTCTGTTGTTCATGTGTTCATGAATTCACGTGTTCATGCATTCACGTGTCCATGCATTTGCGGGTCCATGCATTTATGCGTCCATGCATTTATGTGTCCATGTGTTCATGAATTCACGTGTTCATGCATTCATGTGTTCATGCATTCACGTGTCCATGCATTTGCGGGTCCATGCATTTATGCGTCCATGCATTTATGTGTCCATGTGTTCATTTGTTCATTTGTTCATGCATTCACGTGTACATCATGTGTTCATGTGATCATGCACCCATGCAGGTCCGAATTGAAGCCATGAAGAATTTGATTGGTGTTGCTGTCGGGACTTGAGATCTGCAGGAGGTGGAGTAGACAGCACGTGACTCAGCAACAGGTGCATTCCGGGTGACAGCTCAGTCGATCTAACCGTCTCTGGAGACACCAAGCGTTGCTTCAAAGGGAGCTTTCAGGGCGGCTCTTGGAGTGAATCAAAAGCCACCAGTAGTTGTTGAGTATAAGCAGAATGGTGTACTCCAATACACTCAATATATTGTGGTTTGCGTGACCCATGCGCGTGCATGTCACCTCCAGTGATACCTACCTACATCACTCGTTAATGGACATCTGCTTTTGTGCCAGGGAGTGGGCTCTCCCTCACTCGCAATCGCTTATGTGTACATGTGCACTGCTTATCCCCCCCGTAAGGAATGACGATTCAGTCAGTTGAGTAATCTTTGATGCATCCCCTGTTTCGCTATGCCTTCGCTGCATACCTACCGTACCAACCAACCCAACCCAACCCAACCCAACCCACCCAAGCAGTGGGAACAACGGAGACCAAATTCAAATAGTAAAGAATGAATAGAATGGATTAGGGTGCATGGCTGCAGCCAGCAGAAGAGTCAGCTTGTAACAAGTACGTATCTAAAGCTAAGACTGCAACCTAACTTGACAGCCCCATGCGTGAACAACCACGGGGGAAGGAGGGGAGAGGAAGAAGGGAACCTTTATTACAAGGAGCGCTTGCTTCCTTGAGAAGTGGGGCAGGGGAGAAGGACCTCTGAGGCGCCTGAACTATTGGCAGGCAGAAAAGTGGTGGAGGGAGGGATGAGGCATAGCTATGCGTTTGTTGGTGGTGACAAGTTGCAAGTTGGGAGGAAGAAGGGGTGGAGAGAGAGAGGGAGGGACTAGGCGTTGATGTTGTGGCTGTCAGTGGTGGCAACAGCAGCTGGAGCTGCAGCAGCTGCAGTCACACCAGCAGCAGCAGCAGCAGAGGAAGCGGCAGGATGTTGCTTATGGGTGGAATCAAAAGCAGCAGAGGTGGTGGCGGGAGACAGAACAGAGCTGGACCAAAAAGGGGGCGTCAAGGGTCGCTGATAAACCAACCCCTTGCCTGCTGCTGCCATGCCCCCTGCACCAGCACCAGCAGCAGCACCAGCCGCAGCTGCAGCCGCAGAAGCCGCGGCAGCCACAGCAGCAGCATTTGAACTAGACGAGCCAATCGACAGCGAAGAAGGGACAAAGGGCGCGACTGAAACAGTGTGACTGTCTATCGACATTCTCCCCGGGCTCGGCGCCTCCCACTTGCTGCTGTTTGACCAAGTTAAAGCCCACGACTGGTCTGACTGCGCGCTGGGGCTACTAGCAGAGAAGCCCGAGAAGCCTTCATATTCAGAGGAGGAGAGAGGGAAGGGGGATGGGGCGGAGGTGGAGGCGGTGGGGGTTGCTGCTGCTGAGAGGTTTGGGTGTAGAGAGCCTGCTGTTGCTCCTGACGAGGAACTCAGGGACAAGCCTGTGCTTGGCCTTCTTGCTCCTCCTGCTGCTCCTCCTGCTGCTCCTCCTGCTGCTCCTCCTGTTGCTCCTCCTGCTCCACCTGCTCCGCCTTCTCCTCCTTGTCTTCTGCTTCCCCTGCTGCCCCTGTCACCATCACTCTCCGCACCGCCACCACTCCCACCATGATCAGCACCACTCGTACCACCAGCAGCGCCACCAGCGCCACCAGAACCACCACCAACATCCCCACCACCACCACCACCACCAGACGCAGCAGCAGCAGCGCCGCCAGCGGCAGCGGTGCGGGCGAGAAAGGCCTGCTCCCTCATGAGGTGGGCGTGGATGTGGCGGTCCTCTGAGAGGCGCAGCAGCGCCTCCTCCGCCAGCAGCGTGGCGTGCCGGTTGCGCTCCCCCAGCGCTGCTAATGCTAGTAGGGATTGGAGACCTCCCAATGCCATCACCTGCGGGAGGGGGGGTGGCGAGAGGGAGGAGGGGGGGTTGGGGTGAGAGGGAGAGAGAAAAGACTTTCACTAGCAGCAGGGACAGCGCCAGGAGCAACTGCAGACAACGCAACGCCATCATATGGGAGGAGAGGGGGGGGGGGGGGGGGGGGGAATAATCGACCACATCCCCTCCTCAATTATCACCCCGTTCAGAATCACCCCATCGCCCAGCAGGCTCTGCAGTGCCGACTGAGCCATGGCGCGACTGACTGCGTGACCCTCCTACTCACACTCCCCACACACAAACCCCTCAAACCCCTGTCCCCCACACACCTGTCGCTTGTTCTCGCAGTGAATCGCGAGGTACCAGAAGGCCCGGGCCGCCAGCCTCTGCACCTCGTGGTGCTGCGATTGGGCCATGGCGATAATAGACCACAGCCCCTCCTCTCTTATCACTCCGTTCAGAATCACCCCGTCGCCCAGCAGGCTCTGCAGCGCACTCGCCGCCACCTCCTGTATCTGCGCCTCGGCGGCACACGATGCGTTGCACAAGAGACGAAGCCCGCCCTCCACAGCAATTTGTAGCCGCAGCTCCGGGTTGCGGCAGAGGGCGGCGAGCGCGGCGATGGCAGCTTCCAGGATGTTTCCCGCTTCCATGGCGCAGATCTCTAGGACCTCCTTGAGACCCCCTCTTTGAAGCATCTGATTGGTGGAAGGGAGAAGAAAAGGAAACAAAAGAAGGGAAGGAGAGGGGGCGAGCGGGCGAGGGGAGCAGGGAAAGAATTTGGGGGGGGAAAGGGGGTGGGAGAGGGGGAGTGCTTGAAGATGGGAAGTCATTGCGATTGAAGGCCGCCCTCCTGCACACCTTCAGTTCAACACCCACATTCTCTCATTCCTTCTCCACACTCCCTCTTCCCCTCCCCTCCTCTCCGCAGGCACAGACAAACACACACATCTCTCTCCGCCCTCACTGTCAAGCCTCCCCAACTCACCTCCTCTTGACTGCTCGTCTCCACGCACACAGCAGCCAGCGCCCTCAGAGCCATCTCCCTCAGCTCCACCGTGAAGTGCTCCCCTGCTCGCACCAGCGGCAGCAGGCGTGGCAGCACGTCCCGGGCCAGGGCAGGAAGGCGGTGGCGCTTCAACCCACACAGGCGCCACAACGCCTCACACGCTAGAGCCTGCGTCTCCACTGCCTGCTTGGGCGGGAGTGGGGATGGCGGGGAGAGAGGGGAAAGAGTGGGGCAAGAGAAAGGACATGTCACACGGGCAGCACGTCCCGGGCTAGAGCAGGCAGGCGGTGGCGCCTCAACCCACACAGGCGCCACAATGCCTCACACGCTAGAGCCTGCGTCTTCACTGCCTGCTTGGGCAGCACATGGGAGACCGGGGAGGGAAGGGGTGGGCGTGGAAGGGAGGGGGGGGCAAGAGAGGGGCACAGAAGGAGATTTTTGAGGCGCCTAAAAAATCACTTCAACCCACACAGCCGCCACAACGCCTCACATGCCAACGCCTGGGTTTCCACTGCCTGCTTGGGTGGGAGGGCAACAAAGGGGGGACGAGCAGGCCAAGAGGTGGGAAAAAAAAGAGGGCCCACGAGAAAAGTTGAACCTAGTTGCTGCCACGTTAAGACTATGGCTCCCGTCTGGGGTTCCATTGGACGAGCAGGCCAAGAGGTGGGCAAAAGAGGGCCCACGAGAAAAGTTGAACCTAGTTGCTGCCACGTTAAGACTATGGCTCCCGTCTGGGGTTCCATCGGACGAGCAGGCCAAGAGGTGGGCAAAAGAGGGCCCACGAGAAAAGTTGAACCTAGTTGCTGCCACGTTAAGACTATGGCTCCCGTCTGGGGTTCCATCGGACGAGCAGGCCAAGAGGTGGGCAAAAGAGGGCCCACGAGAAAAGTTGAACCTAGTTGCTGCCACGTTAAGACTATGGCTCCCGTCTGGGGTTCCATCGGACGAGCAGGCCAAGAGGTGGGCAAAAGAGGGCCCACGAGAAAAGGGCAAAGTGAGTCAGGGGGCAAGTGACGGGCAGGGAAGGGGGTAAGGGAGGAGAAAATGGGGTTGCAAGGTTGAAAGCGAACAAGGGGGCGGAAAGGGCGCAAGGTGAGGCGAGGTGAGATGTGGTGCGGTGCAGTGTGGTGATGCGCAGTGCAATAAGGTGAGCAAACTTCCATACCTGCAGCGAGTTGTCGCTCATGACTAGGAGGTCGACCAATGAGAGCACGCCAGCTGTACTGAACTCCTCCACCACCTCCGGCAGCACTGAGAGCTTCGCAATGGCATCCACTGCCGCCTTGGTGCCCTGATTGTGGGGTAAGACGGTGGAGGGGGGGAAGATAGGGACGGGGGAAGGGGAAGAGGGGGGGAGCCCCAGCATTGAGAGCTTGGCAATGGCATCGCGTATTCAGAATCTGGTGAGCTCACTCACTCATATCCTCCCACAGCACAGCATATTCAGTGAGCTCACTCACCAACTCACCCACTCACTCACCAACTCACTCACACACTCACTCACTCACTCACCCACCCACTCACTCACTCACCCGATCATATCCTCCCACGATTGCTGCCTCGATGGGCTCTAGAAAGCCCGCAGAATAGACGAATTGCGAGATAGGCGATCGCGTCGCGAATTTAGAATCAGGTGAGCTCACCCACTCATATCCTCCCACATCACAGCATGTTCAGAGAGCTCACTCACTCACTCACTCACTCACTCACCCACTCACTCACTCACTCACTCACTCACTCACCCACTCACTCACTCACCCACTCACCCACTCACTCACTCACCCACTCACTCACTCACCCACCCACTCACTCACTCACCCACTCACTCACTCACCCGGTCGTATCCGCCCACGATCGCTGCCTCAATGGGCTCTAGAAAGCCGGCAGAATAGACAAACTGCCGGTTGGCGTCTGGCTTGCAGAGGGCGGCAACCGCCCGCATGGCGGCCGCCCGCTGGTCGGTGCGCTTGGAGAGAGCGAGGGGCATGAGGGGCAGCATATACTTGGCACTCGAGATTTGAAGCATGTCTGATGTGGGGAGAGGTGGGGGACGACAGGAAAAAGGAGGGAGGAAGGCGAAAGAAAGAAGGTGAGGATGTAAATTTGAGATGAGTGGGAGGGGTGAGAGGGGTGGGGAAGGGGTTGGGTGGTGGTTAGGGAACAATTCAGAGATTCACGAAGATGGGGAAATTTGAGTCGTTTCAAACCGTAAGGACATGAGACGTTGACAAAGACAGGGCGGCTACACACACGGACGCAGCAGCGTAGATGCCTCTCTGTACCTGGCTCTGGCAAGGTTGTAGCAGCGGCATACCTGCTTCTCTGCACGCATACGCGCCCTACCTGCTTCTCTGTACATGGCTGTGTTTTCAAGCCACTCGAGCCCAAACTCCTGCCCTTCCCTGTCCTTCTCGCCCCCTGCCACCTGTGCGATGGCGCGATACACCGACCGGTCTGGCAGTGCCAGCTCCACCAGCGGGTTCAGCGCTCCCATGAGGATAGTCTTGTAGCTGGTGGGGAGGGAGGGGGTTGAAGGAAAGAGTGGGAGAGGTGGTGTTGGTTGCATCACAGTACCTCACAACATCCAGCCACCTGTGCGATGGCACGATACACCGACCGGTCTGGCAGTGGCAGCTCCACCAGCGGGTTCAGCGCTCCCATTAGAATAGTCTTGTAGCTGGTGGGGGGTGAGGGGGGAGGAGGGGGCGAGAGGGGAGAGGAGAGAGAGAGAGAGGAGGGCGGGGTTGGGATAGTGTTGGCCGCTTCACGACCGTCATAACACAACACAACACTTCTCTCCCCCACCACCTAAGCCACCATGCCTTTTGACCACAACCCACCCCCCTCTGGTGCTCCCTCCCCTCCCCACCCTGTCCCCCATTCAAGAAAGCGTACCCGCGTCGGGATTTCAATTTGGTGTCGAGGTGGGAGCGGTGGGTGGAGACGCGGTTGAGTGTGGAGAGCGACTGCACCACAATGTGTGAGTCCACTGTTGACTGGCGGAAGAGCGATGGCAGCCGCATGGCCCGCGATGCTGTGCGCACGTATCTGATTGTGGGGGGGAGCGGGGGCGGAGGACAGTGGAGGGGGCTCATGACAGATGTAAGGTGCAAACAAACGTCGCTTGTTTCATTTTTGTTCAAAATGCGGTTCATGATGGCCCATGTTGGCTCATGATGGCCCATGTTGGCTCATGATGGCCCATGTTGGCTCATGATGGCCCATGTTGGCTCATGATGGCCCATGTTGGCTCATGATGGCCCATGTTGGCTCATGATGGCCCATGTTGGCTCATGATGGCACGCAACCCACCTGTGAATGACGCGCACTTCCTTGCACAGCTGGCGCGGGTGCGGCGCGGTGAAGAGCTGCTTTTGACAGCCCTGATCCCATACCACTCGCGAGCAACACAGTATGAATAGCACTCACTTCTCACGTGTAAGGCCCCCCTCCCTCACCTGTGAATGACGCGCACTTCCTTGCGCAGCTGGCGCGGGTGCGGTGCGGTGAAGAGCTGCTTGGGTGTGCGGCCGAACTCCCTCATCTGCACCGTCAGCGCCTGCTGCACTGTGTCGTCCTCCACTGATGCCAGCACCTGGTGGTGATGGGGGTAGGGGAGGGGAGGAGCGGAGAAGCAGAAATCAGAAAGGGGAGGACGGGAGGGAAGCAGGGGAACGCAGAGGGGGATAGCTGCTTAGACATGCACCGTCAGCGCCTGCTGCACTGTGTCGTCCTCCACTGATGCTAGCACCTGGTGGTGGGGTGGGTAGGCAGAAGGGAGGCAGCGGAGGGGGAGGAACTAGGGGAGGAGAAAAAGGAGGAAGTACTGGAGGAGGAGGGGGAGGAGGAGGGGAGGAGGTGGGAAGGAGGTAAGGGGAAACATGAGCAGCATGCAACAGACTGCAGTTCTGCACTATGGCCTTGACGCAATTCATTAAGTAAAACGAGTAGCTTATAAAGAGTACGCACCTGAGCCCCTATGTCATCGTAGGTGAGCGGGTGGAAAACGTTGTCTGCCTCTATTGCCGCCTCGCCCCTCTGCTTGCACCCAAACACCAGGTTGATCCAATGGTGCAGCCTCTTTGACACATAGCTGGTAAAGGAGAGAGCGGGGATATGGTGGGAAGGGTGGTGGGAAAGGCAGAAAGAGGAGGACATAGGGGGCCGAGCCGTTGCTTGCAGCCGAACAGCAAACTGAGCCAACAGCAACAGGACAGGGGGTGGGATACTATGAAGGGTAGCGGGCGGGCCCCGGAGCAGGAATAAGGCAAGCACACACACTAGGGGCGAATCGAGGCTAGCCAACAAGAGAACTAACAGGCGGGATAGAGACATAGAGAAGGCTTACGGGCATTCGAGTGCTTGGCGCATCTTGGCGGCAAAGTCATGGGCATCGCTGGCCCAGGGGGTCAGTGACAAGCTGGGGTGGGGCAGCACCATGTCGCTCAGGGCCTACTGACGACTCCCATGAGATTGCATTCAGACAGACAGGGCTTGCTGGCCAGGGGGGAGAGGGCTTACGGGCATTCGAGTGCTTGGCGCATCTTGGCGGCAAAGTCATGAGCGTCAGTGGCCCAGGGAGGCAGCACCACATCCCCCACCGGCAAACCCAGTGAAGATCGCAACCAGACACACGGCTTACAGACCAGGGGACTTAGAGACAGAGAGGGGGCCTTACGGGCATTCCAGCGCTTGGCGCATCTTGGCAGCAAAGTCATGGGCGTCTGTGGCCCAGGGCGGCAGCACCACATCCCCCACCGGCACCCCGTCCTGCTTGACGCCTAAGTCCAGCCCTTGTGAGTTGAGCAGGAAGGACGTGGAGAGAGAGTAGAACTCCTGTGGCATGGGGAGGAGGGCGGGGGGAGGAGGGCGGGGAGGGGGAGTGAGAGGGTTTTCAAGTGAGCTTAACACCATTTCCGTCCGCTGTGAGTTGAGCAGGAAGGGCATGGAGAGGGGAAATCTTGTGGGTTTTTAAGGGCTCAACACCATTTTCCTGGCAAGAAGCAGAAAGCGGATGAAGCAGACCAGGGAGGAGTGAAAAAACTTGTGGCATGCGTGCTTGTGCCGGCACTGAGTTGAATTTTGAGGCGCCTCAGAATTCAACTCAATGCAGAAGGAGTAAAAATCTTGTGGCATGCGTGCTTGTGCCGGCACCATGGTGCAGCATAATGAGTGCAAGAAGAAGTGAGAGTGCTTACTGGAATAAGCTCCTTGAGGTCGGATGGGTTGTTGTATGCCCCCTCCCACATCTGATCACACACACATGCCATGCACGCATGCCATTGACACACACATGCATGCCATGCACGCACAGATGAACACACACACACATCCACACATTTTTCCACACAATCACAAACACAAAGTTAAAAGCTTCTTGAGGTCATGTGGGTTGCATGCACACACATCACTGCCTCTTCACCTCCTCCCCGTTTTCCCCCCTCTCCCCCCTCCCTCCTCCCCGTTTCCCCCCTCTCCCCCCTCCCTCCTCCCCGTTTCCCCCCTCTCCCCCCTCCCTCCTCCCCGTTTTCCCCCCTCCCTCCTCCCCGTTTTCCCCTCTTCCCCCGTTTTCCCCCCCTCCCACCCCCTCCTTCCTCCTCCCTCGTCCCACCACCAACTCCCCCCTCTCACCTCGGGGATGGAAGAGAGGAGGCGATCAGGCATGTCGAATCTTCCATTTTGCAGCCGCAGCATGAGCTGGGGGGCGTCGCGCACGCGCACATACACCACGTAGCCGGGCGTTGAGTAGTGGCACCCGTACAGGAACGCCGGGGACGGCGTGCCCGGCACGTGCGGCGGCACCTCGCCTTCCGGGAAGTTTCCCGCCCAGTCCTCGTAGAGCTCTGCTAGATCGTCGTAGCGCTGCCGAAACTTCTCCAGGCGGTCGGGATTGAGTGCGCCCACGGGCTGACAGAGGGTTGAGAATGGATGTGCCAAGGGGTGAAAAGGGGTTCAAAAGGGTGATTAGGTGCTCCTAGAGCTCTGCCAGGTCGTCGTAGCGCTGCCGGAACTGCTCCAGGCGGTCACGGTTCAACGCTCCCACGTACTGAAAAGGGGTGTGGAAAGGGGTAAAAGGGTGTTTCAAAGAGTGAAAAGGGGTTCAGATGGTTTTGCCAAGTACTATTAGCGCTGGCGGAACTTCTCCAGGCGGTCGGGGTTGGGCGCTTCCACGGGCTGACAGTGGGGTACAGAGGGATATGCAAAGGGGTGAATGGGGGTTTGAAGCGGTGGAAGGGGTTTCACAAGACGACATCTTGTAGCATGCACTCTCCTGACTACCTTTTCCAGCTGGCACACTTCTCACCTGCCCCATCTTTCACCTGCCCCATCTTTCACCCGCCCCATCTTTCACCTGCTCCTGCTCTCACCTTGCGTAGGTCTCGGAAGGTGGCTGGGGAGGTAAGATCCAGCTCCCTGGTGCAATGGGGCGCAATAGGGCAATGGGACAGGAGGGAGGGGGGGGCGAGGGGGAAGGGGCGAGAGTTGGGGGGAGGGGTGAGATGTGAGGAACGGAGGGATGTGTAGGTGTAGGAGATAAGGTGATGATTGAAAGCATAGGAGGTGCGTGCGGGAGGGGGAGGCGGCGAGAGTTGGGGGGAGGGATGAGATGTGAGGAACGGAGGGGCGTGTAGGTGTAGGAGATAAGGTGATGATTGAAAGCATAGGAGGTGCGTGCGGGAGGGTAGGGACTTGAAATGGAGAGACGTGTGAGATGGAGGGACGTGGGGAAGAGCAGCAGACAGGGGAGAAGAGAAAGAGGAGGGCGATGGGAAGGGGAAGGGGAGGGGGAGCAGGAAGGGGAGATGGAGGGGGCGGGGAGGGGAAGGGAAGGGGGAGGCGGCAAAGGGAGGGAGAGGGAGTGTCAGAAAGAGCAGGAACGAGCGAGACCGCACGTACTTGGAGGTATAGTCCGCAATAACCCAAGGAAACACGGGGTATTGCGAGAGGTCGTTGAAGGAGCGGTTGGCCTCGCGGTTGAGGTACATGAGGTAGTCGAAGTTGGAGATGCCGCCACTCACCCACTCCCTCACCCACTTGTCCCTGCTGCGCATGCTCTCTATTGATAGCCCGGGCTGGTGGGGGGGGGGGGGGGGGGAGGAGGAGGGGGTAAAGAGAAGACAAGGCATAGGAAAGGAGGGACAGGGAGGAGGGGGGGGGGGGGGAGGGGAGGGGGAGGAGGGGGGAGGGGAGGGGGGGTGGGTGGGAGGGGAGTCTGTTCAAGTGAACAACCCCAAAGAAACAACGTACACAACTTGGAGCAGTCCTGGGCTGGCTGGCAATCGAGTCGAAAAACGAGTCGCCGTAACACAATCCGAACGCTGCGTTTTGGGACGCCTCAAAGCCTAAGTTAGCAGGACACACACAGTCTCACTCACCTGCTGCAGCAGCAGCGAATAGAACCGGGAGCAGTCCTGGGTTGATTTGAACGTGAAGTATATGCTGCCAGGGGAGCAGGCGGGGTAGGCGGGGGGAGGAAGGAGGGGGGAGAGGGGGCGAGGGATGAAGCCATTATACAGAACCGGGAGCAGTCCTGGGTTGACTTGAACGTGAAGTATATGCTGCCAGGGGAGCAGGCGGAGGAAGGAGGGGGGCGGAAGAGAGGGAGAGGGGGCGCGGGATGAAGCCGTTGCTTAGCAACACAGCCCTGGGCTGTTGTGAACGTGAGTCAATGCTGCCAGGGGAGCAGGCGGAGGAAGGAGGAGAGAAGAGGAGGAAAGCGGTACACTGTGCAATGATGGGAGAGGGGACGAAAGGGTTGCGCAACACAAACAGCAATAACGTGGAAACGAGGGAGAGAGGGGGCTGGGCGGTACAGACATCAATCATGGGGAAGAACGGGGAAGAGGGCGAACCAGGGAAGAGGGCGAACCAGGGAAGAGGGCGAACCAGGGAAGAGGGCGAACCAGGGAAGAGGGCGAACCAGGGAAGAGGGCGAACCAGGGAAGAGGGCGAACCAGGGAAGAGGGCGAACCAGGGAAAAGTGTGGGGTGGGAGGGGGTGGGGGAAAACAGATATAGAGGAGAGGAGTGAATAAGAAGGGAAAACGAGCAAGCAGGGGGGTGGAGGGGAAGAGGGAGCTACCTGGACCATTGTGAGTAGAAGATCTCCACTCCGATCTGCATGGGGGAGGATGGGTGGAAATGGGTGGAGATGGGTGCGACGGGGGTGGGGGAGATGGGCGTGATGGCAGCAAGGGGGAGGGGAATGGGGGAGCTGGTAGGTCAAAGAAAGTCATTACTTCTTGTGGCACATACAGATGGAGGGAAGGTGGAGATTAACCAGGTAAGGTAAGTAAGCACACGAGCTCGAACGGTGTAGCTCACCCCGACCAATGAGAGCACCCACGAAGCTCGAAACGATGAGGAGACCAATTCTCAACAGCTCGCTCACCTCTTGGAGATGTGTGGATCGGCGCATGACAGCCGTGACGGTCCTAAGTGGATGCCGCACCACCGGACCGGCACAGAAGACACGACATTGAAGGGCTGGAAGTAGACGCTGTAGGGCGCGAGGATGATGCGACCCGGCTGCCGCTGGTGCAGCAGCAAACCCAAGTGCGTGTTCCTCTCTAACTAACCCTCGCTCACCTCTTGGAGATGTGTCGATCTCCGCATGACAGCCGTGACGGTCCGCAGAGGGTGCCGCACGACAGGCACGGACGAGACGACGTTGAACGGCTGGAAGTAGACGCTGTAGGGCGTGAGGATGATGCGACCCGGCTGCAGCACGAGGGGCAGCATCTGCGACCCCACCAGCTCCGCCACCACCCTGTCATCCCCCTCCTCCAGCCACCCCGGGTTGAACCTCACCTGTGGAAGGAGGGGGGGAGACGGGTGGGAAGAGGAGGGAAGGTGGGTTTGGAGAAAATGAGACCTGCTCCGCCACCACCCTGTCATCCCCCTCCTCCAGCCACCCCGGGTTGAACCTCACCTGGTGGTGGGGAGGGGAGGGGATCAGGAGGGTGGGAAAGGAGAGGAAAGAAGGTGGGTGGGGGGAGGAGAGCAGGTGGGGAACGAGACCGGCAGAGGACATGATAACATGCAGCTGCCAGGGCTAGAAGTGCACTCTGTTCCCCCTAGAAGTGCACTCTGTTCCCCCTAGAAGTGCACTCTGTTCCCCCTAGAAGTGCACTCTGTTCCCCCTAGAAGTGCACTCTGTTCCCCCTAGAAGTGGACTCTGTTCCCCCTAGAAGTGGACTCTGTTCCCCCTAGAAGTGGACTCTGTTCCCCCTAGAAGTGGACTCTGTTCCCCCTAGAAGTGCACTCTGTTCCCCCTAGAAGTGGACTCTGTTCCCCCTAGAAGTGCACTCTGTTCCGTACACTCCCACCTCTAGAACAGGTGGGTGGGTGCACTCACTCCTCAACTCCCTCCCCGCCTTCCTCACTCCCCCCCCCCTTTCCCTCCCCCCTCTCACCTCCTGCTCGTGCTCTTGCACGATCGCACTGAGCTTGCCCGGCTGCTCCCACGAGGGCCCCTGGGCGATGTCCAGCAGAGCCGACACGCGCGGCAGCACCGCCGCCAGCGACGTGTACAGCAGAGCAAAGGCAAAGGCGAAGTCGCCGCGGTGGTGGCGGTAGGGCGCGTGGCGGTTGCCCACCTTCACGTCTGTGCGCTCACTCGCACAGATGATCAGAAACTCCTCGCCCCTCTCTCCCCCCATGTGCGCCGCCCTGTTTGGGGGTGGTGGGTGCGGGAGGAAGGGGGGAGGGGGGAAGGAGGAGGGGAGGTTCGGGAAGGGAGCGGGAGGAGGGAGAGACGGGAGTGGGGAGAGAGGGAGAAGAGAGGTTGTGTTGATGAGGCATGAGGGGAGGGGAGTAACCCGGTGGTGGCGGTAGGGCGCGTGGCGGTTGCCCACCTTCGCGTCTGTGCGCAAACTCCTCCCCCCTCTCTCCCCCCATGTGCGCCGCCCTGGGGGGTGGGGGGAAGGGGAGGGGGGTGCGGGGGGGAGGGTGGGTGGGGCAGACAGAGAGGAACCCAACAAGCTCACTCGCACAGATGATCAGAAACTCCTCCCCCCTCTCCCCCCCCATGTGCGCCGCCCTGCAGGGTGTAGAGGGAGAGTGGGGGAAGAAGGGGAGAGGAGGGCCGGTCCGGGAAGGGAACGCGAGGAGGGAGAGGCGGGAATAGGGAGGGACGTGAAAGGAGAGAGAGAGGAAGAAGAGGTGGTGGCGGTGAAGAGGGGAGGGGAGGAGAACAAAGCAAACGCGAAGGCGAAGTGGCCCCTGTTGTTGCGGTAGGACGAGAGGTGGCAGCCCACCACCTTTCCATGGGTTCAGCTCACTCGCATGGGTCCAGGAAGGGAAAGGGGGGAGGGAGAGACAGGCCATGGGCATGCCCAGTCAGTGCCCACGCCTTTTGAGGCGCCTCAAAAGTCATGCCCAGTCAGTGCCCACGCCTTTTGAGGCGCCTCAAAAGTCATGCCCAGTCAGTGCCCACGCCTTTTGAGGCGCCTCAAAAGTCATGCCCAGTCAGTGCCCACGCCTTTCGAGGCGCCTCAAAAGCCATGCCCAGTCAGTGCCCACGCCTTTCGAGGCGCCTCAAAAGTCATGCCCAGTCAGTGCCCACGCCTTTCGAGGCGCCTCAAAAGTCATGCCCAGTCAGTGCCCACGCCTTTCGAGGCGCCTCAAAAGTCATGCCCAGTCAGTGCCCACGCCTTTCGAGGCGCCTCAAAAGTCATGCCCAGTCAGTGCCCACGCCTTTCGAGGCGCCTCAAAAGTCATGCCCAGTCAGTGCCCACGCCTTTTGAGGCGCCTCAAAATTCATGCCCAGTCAGTGCCCACGCCTTTCGAGGCGCCTCAAAAGTCATGCCCAGTCAGTGCCCACGCCTTTCGAGGCGCCTCAAAAGTCATGCCCAGTCAGTGCCCACGCCTTTCGAGGCGCCTCAAAAGTCATGCCCAGTCAGTGCCCACGCCTTTCGAGGCGCCTCAAAAGTCATGCCCAGTCAGTGCCCACGCCTTTTGAGGCGCCTCAAAAGTCATGCCCAGTCAGTGCCCACGCCTTTTGAGGCGCCTCAAAAGTCATGCCCAGTCAGTGCCCACGCCTTTTGAGGCGCCTCAAAAGTCATGCCCAGTCAGTGCCCACGCCTTTCGAGGCGCCTCAAAAGTCATGCCCAGTCAGTGCCCACGCCTTTCGAGGCGCCTCAAAAGTCATGCCCAGTCAGTGCCCACGCCTTTCGAGGCGCCTCAAAAGTCATGCCCAGTCAGTGCCCACGCCTTTTGAGGCGCCTCAAAAGTCATGCCCAGTCAGTGCCCACGCCTTTCGAGGCGCCTCAAAAGTCATGCCCAGTCAGTGCCCACGCCTTTCGAGGCGCCTCAAAAGTCATGCCCAGTCAGTGCCCACGCCTTTTGAGGCGCCTCAAAAGTCATGCCCAGTCAGTGCACACGCCTTTTGAGGCGCCTCAAAAGTCATGCCCAGTCAGTGCCCACGCCTTTCGAGGCGCCTCAAAAGTCATGCCCAGTCAGTGCCCACGCCTTTCGAGGCGCCTCAAAAGTCATGCCCAGTCAGTGCCCACGCCTTTCGAGGCGCCTCAAAAGTCATGCCCAGTCAGTGCCCACGCCTTTTGAGGCGCCTCAAAATTCATGCCCAGTCAGTGCCCACGCCTTTCGAGGCGCCTCAAAAGTCATGCCCAGTCAGTGCCCACGCCTTTCGAGGCGCCTCAAAAGTCATGCCCAGTCAGTGCCCACGCCTTTCGAGGCGCCTCAAAAGTCATGCCCAGTCAGTGCCCACGCCTTTTGAGGCGCCTCAAAATTCATGCCCAGTCAGTGCCCACGCCTTTCGAGGCGCCTCAAAAGTCATGCCCAGTCAGTGCCCACGCCTTTCGAGGCGCCTCAAAAGTCATGCCCAGTCAGTGCCCACGCCTTTCGAGGCGCCTCAAAAGTCATGCCCAGTCAGTGCCGACGCCTTTCGAGGCGCCTCAAAAGTCATGCCCAGTCAGTGCCCACGCCTTTCGAGGCGCCTCAAAAGTCATGCCCAGTCAGTGCCCACGCCTTTCGAGGCGCCTCAAAAGTCATGCCCAGTCAGTGCCCACGCCTTTCGAGGCGCCTCAAAAGTCATGCCCAGTCAGTGCCCACGCCTTTTGAGGCGCCTCAAAATTCATGCCCAGTCAGTGCCCACGCCTTTCGAGGCGCCTCAAAAGTCATGCCCAGTCAGTGCCCACGCCTTTCGAGGCGCCTCAAAAGTCATGCCCAGTCAGTGCCCACGCCTTTTGAGGCGCCTCAAAAGTCATGCCCAGTCAGTGCCCACGCCTTTCGAGGCGCCTCAAAAGGCATGCCCAGTCAGTGCCCACGCCTTTTGAGGCGCCTCAAAAGTCATGCCCAGTCAGTGCCCACGCCTTTTGAGGCGCCTCAAAAGTCATGCCCAGTCAGTGCCCACGCCTTTTGAGGCGCCTCAAAAGTCATGCCCAGTCAGTGCCCACGCCTTTCGAGGCGCCTCAAAAGTCATGCCCAGTCAGTGCCCACGCCTTTTGAGGCGCCTCAAAAGTCATGCCCAGTCAGTGCCCACGCCTTTTGAGGCGCCTCAAAAGTCATGCCCAGTCAGTGCCCACGCCTTTCGAGGCGCCTCAAAAGTCATGCCCAGTCAGTGCCCACGCCTTTCGAGGCGCCTCAAAAGTCATGCCCAGTCAGTGCCCACGCCTTTCGAGGCGCCTCAAAAGTCATGCCCAGTCAGTGCCCACGCCTTTCGAGGCGCCTCAAAAGTCATGCCCAGTCAGTGCCCACGCCTTTTGAGGCGCCTCAAAAGTCATGCCCAGTCAGTGCCCACGCCTTTTGAGGCGCCTCAAAAGTCATGCCCAGTCAGTGCCCACGCCTTTCGAGGCGCCTCAAAAGTCATGCCCAGTCAGTGCCCACGCCTTTCGAGGCGCCTCAAAAGTCATGCCCAGTCAGTGCCCACGCCTTTCGAGGCGCCTCAAAAGTCATGCCCAGTCAGTGCCCACGCCTTTCGAGGCGCCTCAAAAGTCATGCCCAGTCAGTGCCCACGCCTTTTGAGGCGCCTCAAAAGTCATGCCCAGTCAGTGCCCACGCCTTTTGAGGCGCCTCAAAAGTCATGCCCAGTCAGTGCCCACGCCTTTCGAGGCGCCTCAAAAGTCATGCCCAGTCAGTGCCCACGCCTTTCGAGGCGCCTCAAAAGTCATGCCCAGTCAGTGCCCACGCCTTTCGAGGCGCCTCAAAAGTCATGCCCAGTCAGTGCCCACGCCTTTCGAGGCGCCTCAAAAGTCATGCCCAGTCAGTGCCCACGCCTTTCGAGGCGCCTCAAAAGTCATGCCCAGTCAGTGCCCACGCCTTTCGAGGCGCCTCAAAAGTCATGCCCAGTCAGTGCCCACGCCTTTCGAGGCGCCTCAAAAGTCATGCCCAGTCAGTGCCCACGCCTTTCGAGGCGCCTCAAAAGTCATGCCCAGTCAGTGCCCACGCCTTTCGAGGCGCCTCAAAAGTCATGCCCAGTCAGTGCCCACGCCTTTTGAGGCGCCTCAAAATTCATGCCCAGTCAGTGCCCACGCCTTTCGAGGCGCCTCAAAAGTCATGCCCAGTCAGTGCCCACGCCTTTCGAGGCGCCTCAAAAGTCATGCCCAGTCAGTGCCCACGCCTTTCGAGGCGCCTCAAAAGTCATGCCCAGTCAGTGCCCACGCCTTTCGAGGCGCCTCAAAAGTCATGCCCAGTCAGTGCCCACGCCTTTCGAGGCGCCTCAAAAGTCATGCCCAGTCAGTGCCCACGCCTTTCGAGGCGCCTCAAAAGTCATGCCCAGTCAGTGCCCACGCCTTTTGAGGCGCCTCAAAAGTCATGCCCAGTCAGTGCCCACGCCTACCTGTCAACAGCGGACACGCAGCCAAAGGGAATGCGGAACACGGGCTCCAGAGTGCTCTTGGGCACAAAGAATATCGACCCGCTGCACAGCTTCAGGTGCTCTGGAACCCGTATCCACATACTGAGACAACTCGCATAACACCCACACTTAAACGCACTCAGGCCCCCACACATGTCATGCCCAGTGCCCGTGCCGTGCCTACCTGTCAACAGCCGACACGCAGCCAAAGGGAATGCGAAAGACAGGTTCCAGAGTGCTCTTGGGCACAAAGAATATCGACCCGCTGCACAGCTTCAGTCAGGTGCGTCGGGACTCAAAATTCTATCCAATGTCTGAGACGTCACACAATCGTCTACACACACACCCACATGCACTCAGACCCCCACACATGCCCACCTGTCAACAGCCGACACGCAGCCAAAGGGAATGCGGAACACAGGTTCCAGAGTGCTCTTGGGCACAAAGAATATCGACCCACTGCACAGCTTCAGGTGCCCCTGCACCCGCTGCGTGCCGCCGTTGGGGTAATAATTACACGCGTAGTCCTTAAAATAGTACTCCCCTTCCTCTAGCAGCAGTAGATTGAACCTATCCGGGCCTTCTATGACTAGTTTCTGACTGTTTTGATCCCCGCCTTTGCCTCCCCCTGCGCCTCCGCCTCCCTCCCCCGCACCTCCGCCTTTCCCCCCGAACAACCCCCCTGCCCCCGCCCCATGCAGCATCCGGGACAGCATGCGCGCGCTGCTTCCGCCCTTCCCCCCTCCCCCCGCGCCTCCCGCTCCGCCAGTACCTTCCTTCCGCCTAGGACTCGGCATCCCCTTAACCGTAATCTTTCTGCGCCGCGGGGAAGCATATTTGGGCAACGGGGGGGTCCCTGTGGGCCTTTCCGCACCCGCTCCCCCTGATCCCCCGAACCCCCCGAGCCCCCCAAGTCCCCGGAATCCGCCTCCCCCGCCTACGCTGCGCGTGCTGCTGCTTCCGCCGTCGCTAGGCGTGGGGAGGGGCAAATCGTCCGCTCCCCCTCCCTCTTCAGGGGGGATTTCTACATACAGTTGCTCGGCGCGCATTCTTCCCTGCCTTCGTCGCTGCTGCTGCTGCTGCCGCCGCTGCCACCCCTCCCCTCCACTCATCCCATCCTCACTCCCCCCTATGCCTTCTGACTCCTCCCCATCCGTCCCCTCTGTCCCCTCAGTACCCGTCTCACCGTCCTCCCCTTCCTCTCTTTCATCTACGCTCGATTCTGACTGGGAGTGGTGGTACCTCAACGGACTGGATTGCATCATGGGGCTGCCGGAGTGCATCGACGGACTAGATTGTCTCAGCGGGCTGTGCATCAACGGACTCAATTGCTTCAAAGGACTGCCAGAGAAAAACCGACCGCCTCGCTCCTGCTCCTTCTGCTTCCACTGCTGCCGCCCCAGCATCTGCCACTGCTGCTGCTGCCCCGCCTGCTGCCCCTCTTCCTCCTCCTGCTCCTGCTTCTCCTCCTGCTCCTGCTGCTCTTGCTGCTGCTGCTCCTGCTGCATCTGCTGCTTCTGGTCCTTCGCAGCTTTCCTCTGTTTCATCATCTTGAAAATTGACATCTTTCCAACTGCTTCCAGCCCCGACCGTGACCTTATCGCCGGTTCTGACTCTGACCGCGGGATTTCCATGGGGTGGCCCACTCCCGCGCCCTCCTCCTCCTCGCCCCCCTCTTCCCCCTCCTCCCCCTCCGCCTCCTCCGCCTCCCCCGCCCTCCTCTCCTCCTCCTCGTCCCGCCCCCCACCCGCACTAGAACGACCAGACATACTGCCTTCCGCCGCTATTCCTAACTCCCCAACACCACCAGCAGCACCACCATCAGCAGAACTACCACCACCAGCACCTTCAAAACCCACGCTCCCGCTGCTATTCCGCCTCCCGCTCCTTCTCCGCCTGTGCTGCTTCTTCCCCTCGTTACTGTCACCTCCTCCCTCCTCCTCCACCTGACGCAGCGCCTGCTGGATGTTCCATGCTGGCGCTGACGTGGTCCTACTCAGCCGCCTCAATCCCCCAATCCCCATCCCCCCGCTTCCATTCGCGCTTGCGCCTGCGCCTGCGCCGAGCCCCACTCCCCCACTTCCGATCAGCCCAAACAGCCCCCCCCCGCTATTGGCGCCGTCCCCGCTTCCCCCCCATGACCCGATACCAACCCCTCTGCGCCCAGAGCACCCGGAAAACATGGGAGAATTTCCTTCCTCTTCCCCTTGCCCTTCTAATTCCCCTAACCGTTCCCCCTCCCCCTGCGCTTCCGCGTCAGCAGAGGAGATGGAAGCGGAAATGCTTTCGTCCCCGCCCAACGATCGGCGGAAGAAGAAAAAAATCGGGCTGGGAGTGCGCCGGTGGGGGCGGAAGGGGGAGGAGGAGGAGAAGGGGGAAGCGGACGTGCGGGGGGGAACGCCCCCTCCCCCTCCGGTATCGGCAATCCCGGCGGAAAGACTGGCATCCCTGGCATGTCGGAAAAGGCCTGCGCTAGCTCCAGTTCCCGCGCTAGGCACGCCGGCGGAGGCGGAGGCGGAAGCGGACGCGGAAGCGGACTCGGGGAGATCTTGAAGCTCCTCCGGATGACTGGAGCCGGCGGACGGGCAGGGGGAAGACGACGCGGTTCCGCCTTGACTTCCCCCATGGCCTCCACTGGCACTTCCCCATGGTCCCGGCGGGGGTAATCGCGCAGAAACTACGCCTTTCTCCGACGACGATCGGGGGAAGAAGGATCGGCGGATGACAGATCTGCCTGCGGACTCCCCTACCGTACGATGCGATCCCGAGGCCGCATCCGACGACGTTCCTTGAATCCCGCCGGCTGGTCCGGAATCGCCTGTAGGTCTAGGTGGTAAATCAAAAGACCGTGGCGCGGGCCCCGTTAGGGCGGGTCCGGGCGGCGCATCTAAGCACCTAGCCGCCGCGGTGGTGGGTCGGGGGGGATTGGCGGAAGCGAACCCTAATCCTGCGCAAGAGCCGGCACCACTGGCTGCGGAGTCACGAACAGAGGGAGCAGCTACTGTGGGTGTGGCTGCTAGGGTTGCTGTCACAGCGTCTGCCGATACTGCTTCTGCTGCCTCTGCTGCTGCTCGTGGCTCTCTCGTTTCAGCTTCGGACGCTCCCGACGCAGCTGCAGAGGCTCGGCTCTGCCAGCTGTCGCTCGGACCAGACTGAGAGGAAGTCGGGACGGCGGCCATGGAACTGGCGTAAGTGGAGTGCGACGCGTCAGGAACGAGTGAAACGAAGTAGCGTGTTGAACTCTAGGGCTGATCTTGCAATGTACGAGTCTGGCGTTTGAACGAGCTGATAAGGGTAACCCTAATCGTCGCTGTCGTCGTCGTCGTCGCTTTCAAGGGAGAACATGATTGGGAATTAAGACAAAGACCCAGGCAACTAAGGACGCCGAAAGGGTACAAAATGGCGGTAACCAAACGATTACAGCTGAATGCACTGACCTAATGAATCGGAAACTGAAGGTAAACACACTATGTCGTTTTGTTTGGGTTAACACGTTCTTCTAAACGTCGTGCCTTGAAAGCGGATGCGTATTATCACGAAACCTAACGAGCATTGCGAGTCTGTTTCGACGTATCATGCAATACAACTGGTCAACATACGTTCCTGGGGAAGCTATGTTAGATAAGATGGATTATGACAGTCACTACCAGACAAGTTAGAGTTGAGCGGTGTTGACGTAGCAATAGGCGAGCATCATAAAGCTCAGCTCCAGGTGGTTGCTAAAAATGAGTCAGCCGAGCAAAGCAGGCAGCCATGATTTATGAAAAGGCACGACAGCCATCAGCCATCCCACAGGATCATCTGCCCTGGATGCCTCGGTTGTATCCCGCACCGAGCCAGTATCAAACCAGTGCCGAACCAGTGTTGAAACTGGCTATGGAAGGCACAGGGGTTAGGAAAGAGGTGAGGAGATAGGTCAACACCTCTGAGGCTGACCGAGCCAAATAGTACCGCCACTCAGTGCGAACACCGGAACACCAAACCAAAACATTCCATTGATTTGGTGCTTCACCAACCTCATCCCTTGGTTTGGTTTGGGACCATACCGAAAGGTACAGTTGTGGGAAGAGATGAGATGAGCAAGCCTCCCTCCCTTCCTTCTCCCAGCCAGCCGGGCGCCAGGCCATCCCAGTGATGCCACACTCGAGTCAGCGACAAGCGAGCCTGAGGCGAGTCACTGTCGCTCGCACGGTGACTGTGCGACTATCCTCCCCTCCACATCGGTCGAGAGCGTGCGAAAGAAATCGAGCAGAGTAACCAGTTTCGTCTACGTTTGGATAACTACGACTTCCTGGCGCATGGAAATGACGGGAAGCGAACTTCGTCGTACTCAACGGCCAGATAGTATTCCAGGCTGGCGTGAAGGTTTTTTACGGAGATACACGCGAATGATTGTCTTGCTTGTGATTCGCCCTGGCGTTTCTGCAGCCAGACGACAGGGAAGGGGACAAAATATGTCGAAATGCCAGCCTGGAAAACAGAAGCAAACAAGCATCCATTCCACATATGAACTGATGTCAGACAGAAATCTGGAATCCCCTGAAGATCAGTCAACACTCTTCATAGCATTTTGATAAGGCCCTTATGATATTTAAGCCATAAGACCATCTCATACAGTGACACATCTCCCAAATTGCTTCCTGGAAAAACCTTGACCAGAGAGAAACTGGGTAGCATGACATTACTACACGTGTCATGGCGTTGAACCGGACCATGGGCTAAAGTGGGTCTGTAGCTCGGTCCACCAGCACATAATGGTACTTCTATACATGTCTCATAGAGCGTGTTCCTATGTCTCGTATCAATAAACCGTATCAGACTTGCCTGGTAAAACTAGCGAGGGATTTTGGGTTCGGGGGAATTTTCAGTATGAGCCTGATACGAGATTCGCTTGATACGAGGCGTAGGAACACACTCGTACAGGCCATCATTATCACCCAGGCCACCAGCCAGTTGTTGATGCACATGCCTTGTGTGTACCACTGCAGTTAGTCGTAACATGCCCTTTTCCATGTCAACTTGTCTAGGTAGGACGGAGTTGATTCTTCTCAATTTTGGGCCCTCCCCTATGTCAAAACATATTGTTATGTTCTTACTCTAGGTTGTGTAGGGTCACACCTTAGAGGGTACAACCCAACTCTCTCGACATCCTTGTACCCCCTCCCTCTTACCTAATCCACACTCATTCCTCACCTAGCTAGTGATTCTAACATGGTATTAAGAGCACAATGCTCCTTAGGACCGAATTTTTAAAAGGGCCCACCACTACTATTTCGATCTACTGCCCGAGTCGCGCCCCTGGGAGAAACGCGAAATTCGAAACCGTGCTCTAGGCGAGACGGTTCCTTTTTCTGCCCTAGACGCGATTTTCCTTCCTAGTCACGTGCGACCCCCCCTGACCGCGCCCTAGCTGCCAGTACAGCCCGCGTAGGCCCGTCGCGAAGCCCGTACAGCCCACGTAGGCCCGTCGCGAAGCTCGTACAGCCTGCGTAGGCCCGTCGCGAAGCCCGTACAGCCCGCGCCAGGCCGTCGCGCAGCCCGTACAGCCCACGTCAAGCCCGCACCGAGCTCGTAAAGCCCGCGCTAGGCCCGCACGCAGCCCTTACAGCCCGCGCCTGGCCCGCGCGCGGCCCGTGTTCCTGCTGCACTCGATGCTGCTGCTACTTGCTGCAGCTGCTCCTCCTTGCTACTGCTACTACAGCTAGCGCTACTCACTGCTGCTGCTACTGACGCTACTCCTGTTACAGCTAGCGCTACTCACTGCTGCTGCTACTGAAGCTAGTGCTGCTACAGCTAGTGCTACTGCTGCTGCTGCTACTACGGCCCTTGCAACAGCTGCTACTGACTGAAGCTACGGCTGCTCCAGCTAGTGCTACTGGTGCAGCTCCTACTCCAGCACTTGCTACAGCTAGTGCTACTGCTGCAGCTCCTACTCCAGCACTTGCTACAGCTAGTGCTACTGCTGCAGCTCCTACTCTAGCATTTGCTACAGCTACTATTGACTGAAGCTACTCAAGCTACAGCTAGTGCTACTGCTGCAGATCCTACTCCAGCACTTACTGCAGCTGCTCCTGACTGAAGCTACTGCTGCTACAGCTAGTACTACTGCTGCAGCTCCTTCTACTTCACTTGCTACAGCTAGTGCTACTGCTGCAGCTCCTACTACTGCACTTGCTACAGCTAGTGCTACTGCTGCTCTGCCACTGTGTCCAAGCCGCGCCGCCCAGCCCGAGCTGTCACTGCTGCTGCTACTGCAACTACTACT